ATACACATATGGGGGGCACATGCCCCCCATGTCTCCCCCAGAGGTGTGCACACAGCTGGGAGTTGCCCCCCCCGGATGAGCCGCCAGCAGCTCCATCTTACAACCTGCCTTGAAACACCTGCCCCTAACTCCCTCCCTTGCCATGGGGGCCTTGATGTCATCCCCCCTGGCCAGACCTACCAAGGAAGCTGCTCTCCATGCTGCCAGGCTGCATATTGGCTCAGTATCAGCCATCAGATCAGTATCAGTAGATACAGCCAGTTAATAACTGGCCATTGGTATAAGCCAAAAAAAAAATCTTTATCAGTGCACCCCTAGCTTCCCCATTTAGCTACATGAACCGCCCAACTCTCACACAGTAACCCGATCATGTTACTATGAGACACTCAAGCTAATCTAGCTTGCGGAGGGGTGGGGGGGGGGCAAAAAAAAAAAAAAAAAACAAACAAAAGAACAAACTCACACAAGAAACTCAAAGCAGTTTTAATTAAAAAGTTATTAGATTTTTCTTTTCTTCAGAAGCAGACAGACTCAGACAACTGCTTTGATAAGTGAATGGTTACAGCACAAAATATTTTTTGCTGGAATAGTTGCACAGTCCTGTTCTGCCATTTGACAATAAAAGGGGACCTCCAGAAGTTCACTGAGAATGACTACCAGCTTTAATTTAGTCTGTGTTTACCCCGAGAATCAGTGACACACACAACTTTAGAAGAGTAGGTTACAGCTAGTGTTATTCTATCACGCTGACTGTGCATACCTGTTTTAATTCCAGATGCAATGAAGATGAGACTCGGCCTTTTGGAAAACTGATATTCAAGCATTATGAACACAAATATACATACGTGACAGATGCTTACTACATACTCACATTGGCTACATTGCAGCCCTGGGCTGACCAGCCTAGGTAAACATTTCTGGAGTACAGAAACATATAGAGGAAATGAATGAACTTAGAAATATTCACAGGCCAGACCGTACCATTATATAAAAAACATGACAATACGATTTAGAAATAGTCATAGAAGTACATCCAGTTACCCTATAGGCGATCTAAATAGTAATGAATAAATTACAATAGCCACAGGTAGAGTTCTGTAACCCAAAGGCAGAATTCAAGCAACTCAGAGTCACTAAGAGTTAATAATAACTTCAGTTAGTCCCAATCATCTGCCTATAAATCCTGGATGTATTAAGGACAAGCAAGCATTCAAAAGGACAAGTCTTAACCCTCTAGCACAGGGGTGTCCAACCTTTTTGAATGTGGGGCCGGATCATGAACCTTTTATCACCCAGTAGGCCAGTGAGCCATATTCAAAGAACTCACAGAAAGCAGTATCACATCCCCCCCCCCCCCTGAAACACCCCCCCCCCCCCCCCCCCCCCCAAAAACGAAAGTACAGTGTTTACTTTTGTTTCCTGTCACAGCACCTTGGGCCTCAGAAAACTGCTTGGAGGGCCGCATGGCAGCCCACGGGCCATATGTTGGACAAGCCTGCTCTAGCATGTCTTTTACTAAACTACCAATTCAACTTTTTTTTTAAATACACAAACAGCTTGGAAAAAAGTTATGCAGGGACTGTTTTACATTGCATAAGTTATCAAAATCTGCTTCTTTGTAAGCAACAGCTACACCTAAACAGAGACAAGTTCTTGCTCAAACAGTGCATGACATGTCAAGTTTGGAACCAGCATTTTTCTATGGTAAGAACATGCAGCATTTTTCTATACACCTTTGCCTTCTCTCAAGCCCTCTCCAAAACAGAATACAGGTTTCATTGTTAAATTAAGTGTACCACTTAGCCAATGCAGTGTTGTTTCTTCCAGGTGCGTCAAGAAGTTATTGCTTTATTCTACTGGTAACAAACTGTGAACTGAATTCTACAGAATTTAAGGCAATCCCCTGTAACACCTTAAGTGTGTTGTATGATGCATATGTTCACGTGCACATCAAAAGATTTAACTTGAAACAAAGTGTGGGAACACTTGATTAAAAGAACGCCGACAGAATGAGTGGTTTACAGAGCAGCACCTTACTTGGAAAGCTACAAAAGTTCGGACACAGGCTGGATATTTATTTTCCTGGGATATGCCAGACCCAGAGCACTGAAGCTTAGCAAGAAGAGAAAAAGGAAAGGGCCCATTTTATTAGCTGACCATCCAAGAACCATCTCGGACTATTTGCTGGACAGCAGAAAATATCTGGTATCCCTTGCTTTTTCATTCACAGTATGCTAGCTGAATCAAGGTTAAACCCAGAGACACATTGTTAATAAAAAAAAAAAAAAATGTTTAAAGACAGGTCTCAGACAAAAAACTCTTAGCACCCTAATCAAACTCTAGATACATTAAAATTCAATGGCAATGTGTTAATGCTCAGATTGTTTTCATGCAACACCCTACAGTAACTCATTGACACATTTTTCTGTTGGTCTAATAAAAGTCACTACACTAGTAATATATTGCTGGACCATTTCTGGCTTTAGAGTGACATTCTATAATGGGAGGGGGAAAAAGCTGGTGGGATTAAACATGTCGGGAATTCCACAGTAGCTGTCTCTCAGTGACTTGAGATGAAAATATTGTTTGCACTGAAACAAAAGATGCATCTGTCAGCCTTATGATTCCACTGAGGTGACTGTCACAAGTGTAATGCATATACTGGAATTTGTAACTACTAGTCATTTGCTAATTTTTTATGATGTTTTTGGAAAAAAATAAATTACTATACAGAGTGCTTGGCAATAAACAAGTTCAGCATTCACACATGTTAATATAATACTTATACATATAAAGAGGATAAAGATCTTTAAAACGAGGAAAGGATCAGGAATCTAAATTTAGGGCATACCACTTAAAACAGTGCTGTTGGAAAGTTGGCAGCATTTCTTTAAGCTCAAACTAGGCACATTTTAACTATACCCCCACTTCAGATCTGGTTGAGGAAAAACTTTACAGACGTGACAGGACTGACACTTCAGGAAAGCTTTTTGCAAACTAAGCCAGTTTGAGCCCGAGTCACAGAGAGACAGAAAATTGCATGAGGTTAATTGAAGCCATTTTCAGAGCAGAAGAATTACACTTTATTTAGACAAGCAGTTCAGCCACCCAAGAGTCTCCTATAAACATGCTAAAAAGCAATGCTATTAGTAAGAGATCTCATTGTATTAGGAAGGATCTTGTATTAACTATAAAATGCATTTAAAGAATTTCACTTTGCAGGCTAGCAAGAATTACTGCAGCAAGCAAATGCCACCATCTCTTAACTTTAGCTGTTGGTTTTAAACAAAAAGTAGGCAAGACGCATCAATACCACTGGATAACTCTGGACCAAGATCCAAAATAAACTTATTCATAAATCAAGCTTTAGACTCAATTCTATGCTGTCTACTATCTGTAATAAAGGTTAGGATTCCAAGAAACATCACAAGAAGTGTCTCTGAAGAAATGTGTCCTTTATAGTAACATAAAGTAATCAGATACTTTACTGGACTTGAGCACAAGGAGTGAAGTGTGCCTACGTCCTTAGAGAAGACCAATCAATTCCATAAAAATGTTTAAGTAATCCTTGTTTAGCTACTCAGGAAAGCTTTCCCTTTTCAGATTTAGGAAGGGGATTGAATTGACTGGACTCTAACACAGAGGAAGCAAAATACACCAGCATTGTTCTCAGGGCCCAGGAAACGAAGAGAACAAAAGGACTACTTGTATCTGAAAGAGTTATAGGGTCTTATGTAGTTGAGTCAGGATTGGCCTGAGTGACTTCTGCAGAATGAACAACAGGCAAAGAAATGCTTTGAGCACACTCTGGAAATGTGTTGACTCTGCCAAGAATCACCATCTTAGAAGCAGCTCCTCCACACTGCATACGCAAGCGGAGTGTGCTATTTATGCCTGAATGAGGAAAGTTGGGCATCATGCTTTCTTCACCAGGAAACGCCTACTAATACAGTTCAGTTACCTAAGATACACTGAAAAGCAAAAAAGTTCATTTTAAACTTAGAGCAGAAAATACCTTTTCCCCTCAGAAGATCAAGAGGAGAAATGTTACCTGGAATTGCATCCTAGACAACATGGTCAGGAACCACGCTCCCCACCCCCTTCCGAACCTCCACATTCATTCCCAGCACCACAGAAAAAAAAGAGAGGGGCTTCCTAAGAATGAGAGATTTCACTCTTCTGCTCCTTCGGCTTCAAACCCCTTCCCTGAAGGTCAACAGAATTGTAAATTTTGGAATGCAAGATGCCTTTTCTGGGCCACAGAGGGAGACTGGTTCAGGAAAAAAAAAAAAAAAAAGGAATATACATATATGAACAGAACAGGAGACAAACAAAAGTGGCTTACAAAAGCTTTTTCCCTTTTAATGTAACAAGACACTTCTGCATCAGGCTTAAGCATGGCTGCCGTTAGTAAACCATTAGCCTTTTCTAAGACTACAGTAAGTTCCATATTGCCTCAACTCCTTTTCACCATAAATCTGTATTATTTGGAGTAAAGAAGCTTTTACCAGCATTCACCATCACAGCTAACAGAACAATCAGAATAATGAAAAAACAAACACCCCCCCCCCAAATAAAAAAAAACCCTGGCAAAGGTCCCAAAATGTAAGGATTTTTCTCCAGCTTCTCTTTAGTGTGATACTGGACCCATCTACACTGAGAAGTCCTTCCAGAGGCTCTAGCAAGCAAAACTAGTTAGTACGTGCTTCTTGCCATGTTCCCCCATACTGTGAATAAACTGGTTTTGCATTTTGTGCAACTGACCCATAGAAGAAGTCATTCAAAAAGCCAGAAAAAAAACTATTCCTTGGCACAACTCTGCAGACATAGTAGTAAGTTCAGCCACTTGCGATAGCTAGCTTTAGTTTCAAATACCTGATGCCAGTGATATTTTTAAGAAGGTACCTGTTTCTGAATTAGTGATAAGAGTCACAGCTCTCTTCAAGCAGAAGGCTCTGGTACATTCAACTCCTTTTGCTTTTTATGACTGACAAAATAAATTCCATAAGTAAATGCAACTAAGATTTATCTGTTGTGGCGGCAGGGTTTACAGGGCGCTGTCTTACAGCATGTGTTGAACAGTCTCTGTCTACCAACTCTTTATTCTCTGCTTCATCATCTGAAAGGTCTTCTTCATCTGCTTCTTGCTCCTCATCCAGTTTTTTCAAGAACCGGGATGATTCCGATGTTAATTTTTCTTAAAGAAAAAACAGAAAAGTACTCTCAGCACCTCAGAAGTTGCTCACTTGAGCAAAGACCTATTTTAATAAAACTCCTGAGCAGTTTAAACCAGTGATCCTTGACCAGGGTGCCATGGGACTCATAAAAGAAAGGAAACATGGGGATTATCTAGTGTGGAGAAGAGAAAGCCGAGAGGGACTTTATTAACAGTCTTCAAATATCTGAAAGGTTGTTAAGAGTATGTTCAAGCATTTAAGTGTTGGAAAAACTACGTCCACCCAATCAGTAACAGTCTGGCTCTTCTAACCCTTGCTGTTACTCTACCATAGAACTTAAGACACCAGGCAACCAGAATTTTTTAAAAGTTGCAAAAATCAGTGAATATAGTTCTGACATTTTTGCTAAGTGTTGTGTTCTGCAACCTGACTTCATGTTAGGTATCCATTTTATCACACAAAGATGTATAGAATGGTTCATTTAAAACAAAATTAAGTGTTTTAGAAACAATGTCACACTTACTTGAATAAGGATATTGCTGTGGTCTGTGCCTTTTGGAGGGACAGAGACAGTCTGCTAAAAATACCATGATCTGAAAACAGAACACACATTTATTTGATTCTGAGAGGCCAAACAACATTTGGTTTAAGGCAATATAAAAATAGCTGCTCTGTAGTAACTTTCAAAGTATTTTACTTACAAGTCCTAGTATCAGTCCTGAAAACAGAGTTGCCAATGCAAAAATGGCATATGATCCCCAAACTGGTATGCCAATGTCCTCTGTTAAGTAACTGTGGCAACGCTAAAATAAAAGAAACATGCATCATTTCAAGAACAGTAGAAGCCCAAATTTGTCGATACAGTTATTCAGAAATATTCAAGTTTGAGCACATACCCTGATCCACATTGATAACTGAAACAAAGCAGACATACTGCTCATCCTGAAATAGAAAACAGGAGAGTAAGCGAAGACAGCCATATTTACAGAAAAGAAACATATGAGTACAGAACTACAACTCTGTGGTGATTCAGACCAGAACTAAATAACCTTGTTGGTTTTACCATCACCCCAGAAGGTTGATTTTTCCCTCCCAACCATTTTTCTTCTATCCTCCTGCACTGTATTTTACTCTGAAATATTCTTCCCTCTTAGAAGATAGAGAATTCTGGTATCCGAGCAGATTTCTTTGGGAAGTTTTTGCATGAGGCCAATAACAGATTCTCACATCACTTTAAACCTGCACCTGCTGAGACTGCTTTTCTTCAAGTACCAGCCTCTGAAGCAGCAGCTAGAGTTGTTCTCAAGTAACTAATGCAAGACAAAAGAAGTGCTGATAGGACATCAAGATTGCAGTTATAGTAAAATTTAGGGTATGAAAAATCTATAGTCCCTACAGCAATGTTAGTATAGTTATACTAGAGAAAACATTTGGTACACTAACAGGGCTGCTATCACTACTGCCTGAAGTTTAAGTCTTGTGTCGTGACCCCTCACTGTTACTGTGCATTCTTAACACTACGTTACTTTTCACATTCAGTCCCAATCTGTTTTAAAGAAAACACAAGACATGAAAAGGTAAGCCATCTTGATCAGCGATGAGATGAAATGTGCACTTATGGAAACACTGTGCATGTCTCTTTCCTAAGGCACAATATTCAAAACTTTTACTGTTTCCTTACCATAGTCATTTTTCAAGTAATGGAATACCAATACCATTAGCATATCTTGTTTGCTGCTGTGGACCAACATCAACTGATCTAAGTGCCAAGTTTCAAGTTTAGATGTTTTGAATTCTCAGCAATAATGTTTTTTCTTTTAGAAATCTGAGAACTTTGCAAAGCAATATTTAAGTTTTCCGTGGTGTATGAAAAAGCCAGAGGCTCTAGACCAGGATGTCTCAAGGCAAATTAGATATCAATACTTACATCAACGAGGAAGGACCAAACCAGGAAGAAACTGGTTCAATAGATTTCCATTCTTTATCACTGATGAAATTTATGAAGTCATTTTTAGTCCTTGGGCCCTGATACCTCCTAAACTCTCCATCTTTACAGCTGCTCAAAGGAAAAAGAGGTGAGTCAAGATTACAAAGGAGCACAATGGCATGCAACATTTAACAGCACTTTCCCTCCCCTATTCCATAATCATTCTTTTATGTTGCTTTAAAGTCAAATTTCTTAGAAAAACTGAAAACCACCACCACCAAAGATCTTATACTACAATAGCTTCATACTGTGCTTCTATAGACAGCATCTTAGTGCACTTGCAGAAGTGGCACTTAGATGAGGTAACAGGTGAGTCTGAGAAACAGAAGCATCCATTGAACAATGGATCAAATAAGGGCTACAGGCAAAATACAGTCACTGCATAATATTCTAAGTAGGGCTGTGCGAAGCTTTGGTAGCTGATTCAATTTGGAGGAGATTTGGCCCGATTCGGGGACTGAATCTCCGAATCGAATCGGGAGACCAGGTAATGCTCCAAATCGATTAGAAGCATCCAAATCAGTTTGGAAAAGCTTCGGCCAATTCAGCCATAGACTAAACAGGCAGCTGACAGTTGCCTCCAGCTGGTAAGTCTATTGGGGTTAGGGAAGAGAAGGGACATGGGAGAGGGAGGGATTGGGGCTGGGGTTGGGACAAGCTGCCCACCTGAGGCAGGGGGCCACGTTACTTGGGGCGGGGGAGCACACAGGATGCAGGGGCAGCGGTGCTGAAAGCAGGGGCTCCACCCTGCTGCTGCTTGCCCAGCTAGGGGGGGCGGGGGGAAGGATGCAGGCGCAGCTTGCTCCAGGAGGAAGGGGGCAAGTGGCAGCAGGGCAGAGCCTCTGCGGCTCCCCCTGCCAGGGCAGAGGCAGGGACAGCCTGAGGAGCTGCGGGAGAAGCCCCCATGCCTGGCCCCAGCCTCCAGCACTTAAAAAAAAGAGCCCCGAACTTACCGGCTCTTGCAGCAGCGATTGGGGGTTCATGGCAGAGCCCCCCTGCATAGCACAGGGCAGTGGGGATCACACCCCCCCAGTGGCTGCCACATGGTGCATGTGCAGCGTGGCTCACCAGGGCACCACGTGCTCTCTGGGAGCTGGGGTGGTTCCAGCAGTTATAGCTGGAGCCTGGTAGCGCTCAGCCCCAGGGCACCTGCTGCACAGGTGCCAAGCGAGGAGTGGGGTGGGTGTTCCCCGCTGCCCTGTGCTGCAGAGGGACTCAGCCATGAGTGCCCAGAGGTCTGAGTCACAACTCCTGCAGCTGGGGCCGGGCAGGGGGGCCATCAGGGGTGGGCAATCGGAGAGCGAGGGCTGCGCAGGGGGGCTCTACCAGGAGGCCCCACAGCCCCCACTACAGCCGGTGAGTGTGGGGTTTGTTTCCCCCACCCCGCCCCAAGTGCCAGGAGGCTGGTGCTGACTGGGGTATGGGGCCAGGCAGGGCAGCCGTGGGGGCTTCTCCTGCAGCTCCCCCCATCCAGGGAGAGGCAGGCACAGCCAGAGAAGCCATGGTAGAACCTGTAGCCGCCCAGCTGTGCTTGCCTCTCCCCGGTGGATCCGAATCACCAAATCTCTCCAAATCAGCACCAAATCAGCTTCAGAATCGATTCAGGACAGTGATCCAAATCTCCGAATCAAATCAGTGTCCTCCAAATCAGCTGAATCCAAACTGAATACTTCCCTCTTCGCACAGCCTAATTCTAAGACCCAAGCTATGCAGAAAGATGGACAAGAGCAGGGGTTGGCAACATTTTTGGGCACGTAAGATGTTGGTGTGCCGAGGCAGACAGGGGGGCTCCTGAAGGGCCCAATCCTCATTAGGACAGCACAGCCCCGGCCTCTTCCCCAAGGCATGCGTGTCAAACAAAATGCCTTCATGGGCCACATGCATGCCGGGTGTTGCCTAGCCTTGAGGCTACCAATTCCCTCTAGCTTTAAAAAAAAAAAAAAGCAGCATTAATCTTACAAAGATATTGAACATCCTCTTCCATCCTGAACACCAGACCACACCAACAAAACTAAAGATGTAGAAACATTTTTCCCAAGAAAAATCCATTTTGCTCTGTTGTTATAAAAAAACTGTGACACTTACTGGTAGATGGTTGGCAATGCTGTTATGATAAACCGCCCACTTAGACCTGGAAGAGAGAAAAGTAATTCTTTTAAAGGGTTAGAGCACATTGATCCACAGAGATAAGAAACAGAATTACCATACCATGGATCTTGACTGAAAAATGCAAAACAGCAGTTCACAAGCATAACTGCTATTGAGATCAAACGCAGACTGGCACATACACTTTGAAACACTGAACACTGTCTAATGGACATAACCCAGGACAGGGAAGCCTCTGGCAGACATTCATTTAAAGGCGTGACCTCTGATCCCAATTATTGCAGTTCTTGATGTGCGCACAGCAGGATACACGATTGTTGGGACTGGTAATCACAACCGAATCATACAACTGCTAGCACACAGAGCCTGCCACCGGGGACAGATCTCTAACCCCATTTCTGACAGAGTGTGTGGAGCCTGGGGTCACCATTATATGCGAAACATCTTTGTAGCCGGTTCGCCCTGCCGTAAGTTGGGGTGATCGTAGAGCATGTGAACATATTAATCATGCACAAGTGCAAAAGGACCCCACCCTGGTTGAGACATCCAGACACTACTGTAATACAAACAGGAAAATATTTTCAAAAGCAACACAGGGATTTAACAGCAGTGTACCTTCAAATAAAATATTCCTGAAAATCCCCCACACTAGCAGAGCTAATAAATAGTAACATTCCCAGCACCCTTACAAAAATTACATTTGAATCATTTCTATCGTCTTTCTTTTTTATCGATAGCCAAAGATCCTGGTTTTCTGAATTAAAAAAAAAAATCCCCAATTTTTGGTTTGTAAGAAGTAACTCCAAACCCATATTGTTCTGCGATTAAAATGAAATGCCACTAATATATAGATCTATATCTATAGATACAGTAAAAGCCCTATTTTCTGGCTTGAGTGGGGAACGGGGGAAGTGCTAGTAATCTAAAAATGCTGGTTGCCCGAGGTGCAGGCGTTTCTGGCTGGACACGGGGAGGGGGCGGGTGCAGAGAGAGGTGGGTGGCAGAGGCTTTTATTTATATAGATAGGTAGATAGAATAAGGGAGAAGAGGGAGGGGTTTCATTTTGATCGATCACATGAAAATGTGGATTCTGGATTACTTTTTTAAAATCCAGGATCCCTGTTGATAACAAACTTATTCAGAAACTGGCTTAGAGCATCACCGGAAAGGAAACAAGGAAAACGAGCGCCTGGAGGCTCTTAGTTTACTGTATTCTTTGCGTACAACACATCATTACAGGATTACCTGGCTCTTCCGTCACATCCACCTTCGCGATGTTAATCTCCAGATCTTCCCCCCATTCTGCAAACTTCTCCCACTCCGGCTGCAGGCTCTGGCAGGCAGGACACCACGGCGCGTAACTGGAAAACAGCGCCCGTTTCAAGGAGGGGGAAAAGCCCGCGTGCCACAGTCCAGGGAGGGATTAGCACGATTTAACACCGCTCCTTGCTGCAGGGTTACCCTCCAGCCGTGACCTTTCCCCAGCGTGTGACAAACGAACGATCTGATCGGGGATCACAAGCGCTGTCCCGGCCCCACCGTAAGCCTTCCCAGAGCCCCAAATCCACTCCTCGCATGAGCTGGAAAGAGGAGTTGCAAGCCCAAGGTACCGGGGGGCGGGGGGCGAAGCGTGAGGAAAGGGAAAGGAAACGGAGGAGCCCCAGGAGGTGATGGGTAGGGGGAGAGGGAGCGGGCGTGAGAAAGCGATGGCTGCTCCTCGGGGGTGGGGGGTGACAACACTGCCTGCGGGGCTGGAGGTTAGGAACCAGGCCCAGGCAGGACCCCCAACCCCGACAGGGAGACCTGGTGGGGGGAGGAGCGCCTTGAGAGGAGGGGGTGGGGCGCCCGGGGGGACACTATAAGGGGGGAGAGCCGCGCACTCACAACTCGATCATCCACTCGCCCTGCAGCAAGTCCCGCCAGGTGCCGTCCGTCAGGGTCTTCACTTGGCTCCGCTTCCCCAGCGCCCCCGGCAGCACCAGCAGGAGCAACCCCGCCACGGGCAGCAGCCCGGCGGCCGCCATCTTGTCCCGCCACCGGCCGCGCACTTCCGCGTTCGGGCTGGCCGCCGCGCTCATCGCGCATGCGCTGCACCGCCCCTCCGCATTCCACCGGCGGAACCGGAAGCCGCGAAACCTGCCTGCGCCTGCACCTAAGGAAGGAGCCCGGCCTAGATCGCGCTGCGCATGCGCGGGGGTGGGCTCACAGCCCTCGTGGGTCCGGCCTGAGTGACAGGCGGCCGGGGGTGGGCTCAGCGTGCTGCGCAGCCAATGGGGCGTCGAGTTGTAGGGCGCGCTTGTGGCTGTGGTGGCTGTCCCCTCAGCGCTGCCATAATAATTCCCCATGTCCTTTCTCTTTGCCACTAGGTGTGTTGCAAGCCTCTCGTCGTGTCCCCCCTGAAGTGTCTTTTTTCTAATAGGCCTCTTCCGTCGCTCCTCACACGGCAGCCCCTTCATACCATTGAGTCTCCGTGTTGAGTCCTCTCCAGCGTCATGCCTATCAGCGTCACGTCTATCAAAAATGGTGGTGGGGGCGCTTTAATTAAAGCTCATCCGAGCTTTAGTCCAAGCGTGCCCCGCCACCGGTTTTCTGCGTGGGGACGCTGATACACGTGACGCTCCGGGTGCTTTAATTAGAGCTGTTCTAATTAAAGCGCCCTCCCCCCGCCACTCCCGGGGCACGTGTATAAACACCCAATGGTTTCAAGTTGATTCAAGGGCAGTTGAGGTTGGATATTAGGAAAAACTCTCTCACGAGGAGGGTGGTGAAGCACTGGGACAGGTTACCCGGAGAGGTTTTCCGAGTAATCTTCATCCTTGGACGTTTTTAAGACCCGGCTCGACAAAGCCTTGGCTGGGATGATGAAGGTGGGGCTGGTCCCGGTTGGAGCAGGGAGTTGGAGTAGACGTGACCTCCTTGAGGTCATTTCCAACCTTCATTTTCTATGATTACCTACATCCAGAGTAAAGCATCACGAAGCTGGGCTCATTGACAGGAAAGGGACGAGTCCCATGATACTTTGCTGCAATCTGGTGCTATTGTCAGCTCTTGGGGTGGGATGTTTTCCCCCTTTATACTTCTATAAAACATCTGACGGAGAGATGATCAGGATCCCAGTTACTATTACCCCTGCATGAGTTAGTTTGGATGGCTCGCGTCCATTTGATTTTTCTCATCTCTTTTGGACCTCGGCAGGTGGACGGGTCTCATTTGTGTGCCGAACGTACTATCAGAGCAGCAGACGAAAAACACTGGACTGGTTTTTGCTGCAATTTTGGCAATCCTGGTATGGTGCACTGTACCGTGCATTTTTAAAAAATAAACCCATTGGCACCTTACTCAAAACTTGCTGAATCGAGTCAGTCGTCAATTCAACGTTCAATTATAATTTGCAGAACTCAGCAGAGCGCACATTGTTCCATTTCCTTTGAGTTTTAATTGGATTTTTGAAATCTTATATTGATAATCCAAGTATGGACCCCTGTTTTGCATTTCTAATGAGACGTTAGGACTGGTCTTCTGTTCTTCAGAGCCGCTTCATAGTATGAGATACAGGCAAGAACAAGGAGGTGAATAATAAGTAATCAGGATTCCTGTTCTCCTAATAATGAAACAGTTATCCTGTTGTCAGGCTGGACAGCAACGGCTACCGGCAAGCGTGTCTTTGATCTATAAGCAATCACCGATTTCACTGAGCCTGACTCTAGAAGTGTGTTTGCGATCTTCCATTTGGGCTAAATGATAAAGCAATTACATTTCCTTTTGTTTAGAAGAAGCAGGATTTGTTTTTGGTAATATCTTTTATTAGACCAACTATACAGTTAAGAGAGATGTTAGACAAGCTTTCAGGCGTGAAATGCCTTTGCTCAGGTTTCTTTGTGTACTGACAGCTGAAACAGAGAAAGCCAGGGGCCAAAGCATAAGCTGAATAGCAACAAGGGGTCTGAATATCAACGCCGTGGCATGTACAACCGCCCCCGGCGACTGATTTGGTGGCATGTGTGGGTGTGGATTAAAAAGAAACTGAGGGTGGATAGTGAAAGCAACAAAGCCAGAGGCAAGCCAGAGAATCACTTGAACCACAACCCTCACATAATGCCAAGAGAACATCTTTTGGGCGGAGAGCTGCTTGCAATTGCATACTGGGAATAGTGAGCAAGGAAAGTGCCACCTCGAAAAGGGCCAGGAGCTTGTCCATAGTCTGTATCAATACACAGGATCGTCAGGAAGAATTTCTTGATTGTAGCATTTTCATCTCTACAAGGTGCTATATGTTAGATAACCACTTGGGTCAAAAAGGGGAATGATATGATCCCATACCTCTCTTGTACTTTTACTTGCTGCTGATCATTTACAAGATGCATCTATAAAACATAAATGTGCACCCGTAAAACTCACTGTAATCTCCTTTAATCTCCATTAATATCGGAGAGAGTTTTCTTTTCTGTTTCCTTGAACATTCAGATGTGAACGTTTTTAGACCCTGAGGACAAAGAAACTTTCAATACAGTTTATACGACAGGATATTTACGCTGCCGCATGTTCAAGAGACAACGCCGAGCAGCAAGGAAAACAATTTGATTCCTTCGCCTCTCTTCCAAGGGTCATAATCCTGCGTTCATTTTTCTGTAAAGTGCCCTGTGGAATGAACAAATATACCATGGCTGCAAGAGGAACTAAATGAATGGTTGTTTCTTGATAGCAACTTCTTTTCCTGCTGTGGCTGCCTGCTCTGTTCTTGTGGGAACAAAGCAAAATCTATAAGATTTTTGCTTCGAAGCAGGGTGTTTGAAAACATCACTTTACACAACGTAAGAACAGAAAATTCTAGCAAATGATTGTTCTCGTCTGTCCCTGTAGTCCCTCTCTTGGGTCCTTCTCACATGCATAGCATACTTCATTGTGCATGTGAACCTGCATAGGAACAGGCTTCAAACCTCTCTAGTTTGCAGCAGGGCTTCCAAAACTCTGCTCTTGAGGAACTTGCAGCCCTTCTCATGAGAACATGGTAGGATATTTCCCATCCCCCAAGCCCTGCTTTTTCCAGGAAGAGTGCAATTTCTTTCTTGCTCTTTCCGAGTGTTAGGATGCGACCTGGCTGAGGAGACCTGACTATCTTTCTGCTGCTAGCTCTTACCATTGCTTCTTATCTAGCTATGCATCCAAACCCATAATAGCAAGATTCTGTGAATCTGACTGTCAGGTGCGGGGCTTCGCTGGTGAAAGCTAGAGCGGGAAGCATTCTTTGTTTCCAGAGGTACGCGGCTCCTTTGTTGGGGTCTGTATTTTAATCATTGTACCCTGCCCACAGAATAATTTTTTCTGCCCCTAAATGACCCTCCATCCCAGCACAATAAAAAACTGGACCCGTTCCGAGAACATTTTTGCACCTAGAAACTTCTGACGCTTTCAAAAACAGGTGAAGTACATTTGAAGAGTTATTTAATATCTGAAGTTAGACCAGAGGGTATCGCTTTCCATATCAGAAAGCGTGAAACAGTCCCAACAAGCCACTACATAGGCCCACCACAGTTACGTTATGGCTCTGTGGAAAATATGGCTTTGAATTTCCTGACATGTATATTTAAAATCTCAACCGTAGTACTGCATAAATATTTTTGCAGTGAGGCATGAGGAGCTTCATACTCATGCTCTGTGCTGTTGGGTTGTTTTCTGTTCCTTTTCAGTCTTGTCACAAGATGGCAGAGTTGAGGCTTCTTCTGAGCACGGTGGGCCTAGGAAAATCAATTTATCTTAAATGTAGAATTTGATTTTCCCAGGTAGAGGCATTTTACTATATTTGTCAAGGTATTAATGATGAGGCAGAATATTTTTTCCTAGACCACTTTATATATCTACTACAAACTTGATACGTCTTATACCAGCTAGTCCTGTTTCTTTTAATATAGGGAGGGGAGATAATAAAGGCCCAAAACTTTTCCTATGCATTAAAAGCAGTGCCTTTTTTTGCATGTTATCCTTTGGGTTGGAGAAAGGAAGGTATTTTTGTTTTCCTTGTGGCCTTTATGTCCCTTTGAGCTGTTTGGGGAAAAAAAGGAACAAGTTTTAATTCCCTTCCTGGCAAGGCAAAACATTAGAAATGTGATCAACATTGCAAAAAAATCAACTAACCATGTAGCTGGAAAAAAATCAGAAAATCCCCCCAAAATTCATCAACCTGTTGGTCTTTCTGTAAAACGGTGAGATTTGAAAGTGTCAGCATTTTGATGTTACAAATTATTCAGCCAGTTCAGGTTTTGCTCATTTTTGTAAAACATTCTTGCAAGTAGGGCTGACACATGCCAACAAATGGTATCTGGTGGGCATGGATGAATGTTCAGCGTGAAAACACAGCTCGCCCACAGCTGCTTGGCTCTTGGTTGCTGACCAAACTGGTGAGAATTTTGCCATGGGTGGGCACTTGGCACTGTATCCTCTCAAAAGTCCCGCTGATACATACAAGCTGTTGGATGAGTCATGCCATCAAGATCAGGAGGCTGACCTTGATCAGAAAACATACATTGGGCAGAATCCCAGATACCAGAAGCTGGGGGCGTCTAATGTGAAATAGCAGATATGAGAGAGTTCAGTTTTGGGATCCGAGATCAAGTGACGCTGACCCTGAAATCATCAGGATGAAGTGTTGCTCAAAGATTGCATGCTACAGCACTTAGTATTCTGCGGGCAGGGCGAATGTTACATATACTACAGGGTCCATCGTGCCTTGCTAAAGCTGTTTTCTAACACAAGCTTTTTAGAAAATGTAGCTTTAGGCAGTCAATCCCAATAGGCTCTACGCCTGGCCTTTAACGGAGCTCATGGGCTGAGCTCATGCTTTTCGGTAACTCAGGTGCTCGTTACACAGCACGGGGGAAGGAAGACTGAACAGCACCAGCTTCAACCAGTGGGAACAAATCAACTACACCCACCTAATTTTCAGCACAGGAATAGTCCTGTTGGCTGGATCAGACCCCATAACTGCAGATACAGTTTTCACATTGCAGTGCAGTTTGGGAGGAGGAAGGGCCTTCATTGTGCCCCACTGTAAACAGCATTTCACTGTTATGTGAAATAATGTTATAAGGCAGTCTTG